TGAGAGGTACTTAATTTTGATTAATAAAGCTCTAAATATACACGTTAGTATGGTTGGCTAGATTACAGCCAAAGCAGCGGCTAATAAACCCATCAGCCATGTCAGCCGTCATTAGAGCCACTTTCTTTACATTCCAGTGCATTTAGATTTCAAATTGCCTTTGGCCTCCACTATGTATTATTATGAATGAGGATGTAATTACATTTGTGCATGTGCTACACAGAAAATCACATATCAAAGGAAAGCAGGTTTGTGTTTACATGAATTATAATGACGTGCAGTTTGGCTAATAAGCACCTTTTATCTGGGATTTCTTTAAAAATTTAAAGATTAACACATTATTCCATTACACCCTCAAATCAGTGTTTCATAAACTTCTATATCATCTTCTAAAAGCACTTCAGATCTTTATACTTTATATATTTAAATCATAATCAGTTTACCTTTACTCAGATTTCTTGCGCTCTCATATGACCTTGATTTTGAATCTTTAGGCATTATTTGTATACTTATGGCATGCAAGATAAATAATAAGTATAAATATTTATCATGTATAAAATATTTTGATATTCTAGACTGAATTCATAATGGATATACAGTAGAAGTTTAATGATGTTACAACTTAAACATAGACATAGCCCTGATTTAGATTCAGGATTGCATTTATTGAGAAGGTGCCATCTTTTAACTTTGCTCCAAAGGATTTTAGATATCAAATTTTAAAAAATGAATTTGTTAGAAACTTAAGGTCTAAATTTAAAGGAGAACATATTATGCAAAATTCATTACTTGTGTGTTTTTATTCTTCTGGAGATCCAAGCAGATGCATTAAAAAACACTCAGCCAGTTTTGGCTGTAAGTTCATATTTCTTGATGTCTGGAAAATTCCCCATTTTTACAACCGACAGGTACAGCAACCCGAGCTCGTCATCTGGATTTACCACTGTATACTCTGTACAATGGCTGCTGGAAAAGATTAGTATCTTGTAGTTGACTTACTGTTCAAAAACCACTTGCTGCATTCTTGTTGGTTGTGCAGGAAGCTCGACTTCTGCTTTTCAAAGATGTACAGCTGTATAATTGTGCCTCTGTTTGCAGTCATTTCTATGTGTGAGAGTAATCGTTGACTTGGTCAGCAACAGCTCATAACTGACCAGACTAAAGTCTCGTTTTTAAAGAATAATTTTGCACAAAATAAATGTCATGAACATGTTTTGTATAGCCCCATAGACGTATCCTAGCATGTTCAAGGAAGCATTACAGGTCACCTTTAAAGCATGTACAAGTGTAATAGCTTAGATCGCCCATTCACTCAACTTTAATACCCTGAGAAAAAGTTCTGTGCAATTGTCTTTAGAAGGCATTTACTTTGTAAGTTGAGTTGACATGTTTGTCTTTTAATCTCTGTTTGAATTCAACTGTTCTGAGAACGAAAAAGACCGGGTAACGCAGCAGAATACCCAGTTATTCTGTGAAAATTGGTCTTAGAAATCACTCTGCTTTTGCTGGATATGTTTTTCAACACCAGTATTTGTGTTTCTGTGTTATGTGGTCACTGCCATACAGTTGAACAAAAGAGAAGTAATAAATACCTCTTACCGTCACTTTTTATTGTTATCACAATATCACAGCAAAATAAAACTAAATTCATAATTGTACAAGTACAAATGTGAATATTTTGTTCATTGGAAGGCAGAGAAATAAAAAGTAATGCCTCAAGACTTCGTCTCTAAGACTTTTCCCAAAGGACCTCCTGCTACAATGTAATGCTTTATAATTGAAACACCACCTAAATTTTATTAACCCACAGTAAGGAAACTGATGGTACTTTTGAACTTTGACAGGACAAATTTACCACCAGACACATTGTATGTTACAGCACAGCACCACCATGATAATGCAAGCACTAACAACACAAGTCCAAGTTAATCTTCACAAACTTTCCCGCCAGCCATCTTTGCTTGCCTTGGGCTGAGTCTCGGTGTTCCTCGGTTCGCCCGTGGCCCTGCGTCTGCAGCCTCATGTCTTCATGTTGACTCACTGCAGTGAATCAGGAATACCTCGACTAACCTTCGAGCGGCTCTCTGTGTAGTCATTCAGCTCATACATGCAGAGACCCTGTCGCTTTACTCCTCATGCTTTCGGAGGCTCCTGCACGTGCGAGCGTGAGTGTGTAAATGTGTCGGCCCATCTGGGAGTCTGTCTGTAAACTACATCTGGCAGAAAATCTCCGTAGGTCCTGAGGGATGGGAGCCAGGAACTGAGGGGATTCCCGAAGTGATGCCGACTGTAACTGGGGTGTTGTCTGCTTAAATTAATCCGCGAGATGTTGATGATTTCATCCCTCGGGTTCACCTTATGCAGTTCCAGTAGGGCAATAAGCCTTGTGAGCTTAGAAATATTGCCTGTAACATTGACTGTGACTCTCTTTCAAAGACAATTAGTAAGGAAAAAAAAACTGAAGGAGTTTTTAAAGGTTTGTTTTTTAATGTTTTCTTCTGTGGCAACCACATTGCTACTTTGAAGTTTGTTTTTTTAAAGCAAAGTAAAAAAAATAAAACGTCCGCCTCTTGTGTCTGTGTGGGGCTCTTCAGGAGGCTGACTCACCCTGGTAACTTAATGCGTAGAGTCAGCTTCTTACCCCCAACTGCCCCACTAGCTCCTGCAGACATAAATTGGATGAGAAGGCAAAAGGCTTGGCCAAATGTAGTTGAAGTATTAGGAGTAATAAACGCAGTCAGATGTGAGACAGGGGGTGATCGTTTCTCATGGTCAAAGTGGACCTGGACCATTTTTTGCACACCTCAAAACTGAACAAGAATGGACATTTTTTATGACTTTTTCAGAAATGTTCAGAAAATACAGAAAGATCATAAATGAAGACTGCGTAACCTGACAAGGCAAATGGATTTCCCTAAATTGGGCATTTTCCAAACATTTGAGAAGAGGGGAACACTTACTTTAGTAAATGAGCAAACATTTAAATCAAAGTTCTACAGTTGCAGGTTATCTAACCGGATATTGCTCGCTTTTACTTTAAAAAGCCAACATTGTATTGATTAGTGACTTTTCACTGCACAACAAAAGAGGTGTGGCAAAGATTTTTTTTGTTGTCAATATCACAAACATATAACTTAAGCATATTGCTTAAACCAGATGTTCACAAAAACTGTGTAAAAATAGACTTTTTATTGTGGCTTAAAGTAATCTTATAATGCATGCATCCATGCTGTTCAAAATTTTTAAGTAAAGGAAATTTTCTTAAATATTAAAACTTTCCTCAACATTTTCTCAAAATTATCTAGAAATATCTGAACATCTGATATATGTATTTATATATCAGAGGTTGAGATTTGAAAAATTCATTCCTAATCATTAAATCACAAGAGAAACATATATGAACAATCCTTATTGGGAAATGGTGTTTTGTCATTGTCAAAAGACCACATTATGAGTAAAACAAAAAAGCTATTACATCCCGGATATTGAATTGTTCCCGTAAAAGAATATAAAATACAAAACTGAGATAATGGTGAATCAGTTTAACCTTTGCAGCTGCCTGTGTTTCTGTGAGTAAGTCTGGATTTATGACTTAGGAGAGTCATAAATCCAGGAGAGTCCTGGAGAGTCAGAAAGTGGAGAAATACAGTGATGTAATGCAGGAAAGTTAAAGGGACAGAGCTCAGAAATGTTAGGACTCCCGGTGGGGGACATCTCATTCTGCTTTGGTCTTTTCACTGTTTACTGGATCGTAGATGCTCAGAGTTTACACTGTGACGGAAAAGCAGCCGTTGTTTTTGTCTGTTTTGAACTCACATTTCCAGTGAGCATACCTAAAAATATTCCTGACATCTGTCTCCTGCGTCTCAGGCATGTCCGTATATGGTCACAGTGATCATTACTCGATTCATGTTTTATCACAAGCCCCCTTCAGAACATTCCCACCCTCTCAGCCTTGGAGACACAAAACAGAGGACTGGAAGCTGTGTCTTCTCTGCTTCAGTGAGGTTTCACAGTTTTCCTGCAGCTCTAAGCTCAAAACCAGCTTGGTAAGGATCCCGACACCGGAAGGCCTTTAAACCCTGACCTAAGCTAGTATTCATGGCTGGATTTTCTTTTCAGTCAAGCTGACAATAAGCCGTGTATTATTGCGCCTTCATGAGGAGGAAAGTTCTCTAGAGGTGTCATTTTCATCCCCAAAGCTGCCCTGAGGGACAGCCGCGTTTGGGTTCAGCTCCACTGCCTGAGCTAATGTGGGTCTGCTGTCTGAAATCCTGCTCCAATGGTTTGTGGCGTACCACCTGCTGATTCTGCTGGTGTACATGGACAGCCTGGAGCCCAGAACTAACCTAGATAGACAACATGCCCCATCCCCTCCTCAGAAACTGCAAATAGACACTGTAAGAACAATGCAAGTTATGTCTCAACCGGAGCAAGCCAGGCAAGTCAGCTCTGGGAAGTTAGCACAATTCTAAAAACTCCACCTCACACAGAAGACAGCTGCACTAAGAGGATTTATTTCTTCTGAAAGAGATAGCCTGTGAAATAAAATGAAGTGTATGTGCGTGCACATATATGCGCATGCACTTGATGATAGCAAATTCCCTATTTGGATTATTTTCCTGCCTTCTCAGTACTGCTTGATGGTATTTTTTAATACCGATATCCTCTTTCCAGTCTGTTTGGGCTTCTAATTCCCTAAAAAGTCCCAACTTGACAGCTACCTCTTTGTGACAGAGAGCTCCATGTATCTGAGTTGCAAGGAGCAATAGAGGAAATTAAGGATGCATTGATTTTTCTGAGCTCAGAGAGAAACGTTAATTTTAATTAATGTAATTATTGTGTCACTCCCTTTCACATCTTCCTGCTGAACTTGCAAAACTAATACTGTTTCCACTAAGATTAAAGTCTTACTGGAGATATTTCGCTAAATCTTTGCTTTTACTTTGAACTTACCCTGTATAACCTTGTTTCTCTCTTCCCGTCCCATCATTTTGCAGAGTCTGTGAGCAAGTGAGAGAGGGACACTGTCTGCCCCACTGTCCAGTGACACCATGAGCTGGAGCTTCCTCACACGGCTGCTGGAGGAGATCCACAACCACTCCACCTTCGTGGGGAAGCTGTGGCTCACCGTGCTCATCGTCTTCCGCATTGTCCTCACTGCCGTTGGGGGAGAGTCCATCTACTACGACGAGCAGAGCAAGTTTGTGTGCAACTCGGGCCAGCCAGGCTGTGAGAACGTATGCTATGACGCCTTTGCCCCATTATCTCATGTCCGTTTCTGGGTGTTCCAGATCATTTTGGTGGCGATGCCTTCTCTTATGTACATGGGGTATGCTGTCAATAAGATTGCACGATTGGATGAAGCAAAAGGAAACGTTGGATCTGCTGGCATCAGAGCAGCAGGAGGGGGTTACACCCACAGAAAACCCAGGAAAATTTGCTTTGGAGCCCGTCAGCACAGAGGCATAGAGGAGACTGAGGAGGATCAAGAGGATGATCCTATGATCTATGAGGTGCCAGAGATTGAGCCACCGAAAAGGCCTCGAGATCCACTGCAGCCAACACCCAGACCTAAAATCCGCCATGATGGGCGTAAGCGCATCCGAGATGAGGGCCTGATGCGGGTCTATGTTTTGCAGCTGGTAACTCGAACAGTGCTGGAGGCGAGCTTCCTTGCAGGCCAGTATTTGCTGTACGGTTTCCGTGTGAAACCGATTTTTGTATGCTCGGGAAAACCTTGCCCACACAGTGTGGACTGCTTTGTGTCGCGTCCTACGGAGAAAACCATTTTCCTCCGAATCATGTATGGTGTCACTGTCCTCTGCCTCTCTCTCAATGTCTGGGAAATGCTCCATTTGGGCATCGGTTCTATCTGTGACATTCTGCGGCGCCGGCGAAGCCCACCTCAGGACGATGAGTATCAACTGGGCTTACTGGGCACTAATGGCGGTGGCGAGGGCTCTGTTGGAGGAACAGCTCCCGAGGCTGGCTCTGAGGGTGGCGTAGGTGGAGATGGTGCTGCAGATTATGTTGGGTACCCATTCTCATGGAACACCCCATCAGCTCCACCGGGGTACAACATTGTTGTAAAGCCAGAACAGATGCCGTACACAGACCTTAGCAATGCTAAGATGGCATGTAAGCAGAACAGGGCAAACATTGCCCAGGAGGAGCAGCAGCAGTTTGGCAGCAATGAGGACAATTTTCCCACTGGAGGAGAAGCCCGTGTGGCTCTCAACAAAGACATGATCCAGCAGGCTCACGAGCAACTGGAAGCAGCCATCCAAGCCTACAGTCAGCAGCACCGGGCGGAGGAGCATCTAGGAGACAACCAGGATGACAAGCCACAGAGCAACATCATCCAAGCCCAACCGCAGCCCCAGCTTCAACCTCAGAAAGAGCGCAAACACAGAGTTAAGCATGGCAAGGGGGGCAGCAGTGGAGGAGGCAGTAGCAGCAACAGCAGCAGCAGCAAATCAGGAGAGGGCAAACCCTCAGTATGGATTTAAGCCCACGCACAGAGGCATGTTTGTTAGCATGTATATAATATTGAATGAATAGGGAGCTGTTGCAACCTGTGATGAATATTACACCACATATGCCTTATTGAATCATGCAAGCTGGAGGCTAATGTTTTTTCTATAAATCTGGGTAAAAAAGTGCAGTGTCGCAGCTGACAATTTGTTTAGTCGAACTCAAGGCCAAATCCAGTCTACCATAGCTTTTTTATGTGGCTTTCTTGACTCCAAATTACATAAATCAGTCCAGTTTTTCCACAAAAATGTATCCAAAATTAGCGGACCCCCTCAATTGTTTGTGCTAATGGATAACTCTGAGTTTATTGCAAATTTTACACAAAAATGTTCAAAAACATTGGGTTCAAGTGATACTAACTCCCGCCTGCAGGTGGCAGTATTTCTTACTTTTGAATTGCTGCCTCAGCTTTACTACATGTCACGTTATATTTCATAATTGCGAGTAAGAATCAAAATCACATTTGACATCATATGGTACAAAATTCCTTGCAGATATTTTTAAATTACTATCCCAAATCCCTAATATTCATTGCAAAAAAAAAAAAAAATCATAATAATAATAATCAATCGTGAAATATGAAAGTAGCTGGTCAATGTGAAAAGACAAAAATATTATTTAAGTTTAACAAGTACTTATGGAATGCAGAAACATTTGTGATCTTGATATGGCCCAAAATAAAAATGAGTTTGATGCCCCTTAGTTTGAAGAGTCACATCAACTATGTCTTCTTCCAGTCACTTCTGAAAAAAATATAAAGTCTTCCTGCTTCCCTTTTGGTAGGAAATCAAGCTTCATATAATCTTTGACCCTGAAAAGATAAAATGAGATTGATCCTGGATTTTGGCTCATACTGACAAAAAAGTTATGCACCATCATTATGTCTTGGTATGAACAATGTCTAGCAAACCAAAGCTTTGATTTAAGGTTATGATAATTAATATAAATTATAAAAATGTACATAAATACAACTTCACCTGAAGCAGTGACTGTTTACTACAACGAGAACATGACCTACCTTAAGGCTGTGTCCTGTCACTTGACTTCTTTTCCTCCATCCTCTGTTGTATCTTCTCATTGTGTTATTTGCTCTCCTCTTTAATCCAACTGTGTTTGTTTCATGTGAAATTTTAATCAAAGTGCTAAACCAGCTGCTCCTCAGGTGCCGCTGAGTACAGCTGGTGGATCTTACATCTCCGTAGAGTTGTTTTTATTTTTTACAAGATACAGAAGCAATCCAGCTTTTATACCGTAAATCTTCAAGTTCCTAGTCGTATCCTTGGCTGTTTTTAGAGGAGACGGTACTTCTCTGCTGCTCCATTTGCCTTGTAGCTGACTGCCCCCTGGTGGTGATTTTGTACTGGGCATTTACTCTCATTTCACCTACTATGAAGTAGATGCAAATACTACCTATATCCAGCAACACCTTAACCAGCTGTATTGGTCCTTTTCTATTGACAAGACTTGTGTCACTTATGTCTTCCCAGTGCTTCATGTTCAGTGTTGGACGCACAAGTCTTCACGTCGTAATGGAAAGAGTTCAAAGCCATTACTTTAATATAGTGAGACCAAACACTGTCTCTGTGATGCAAGTGTCAGTGCCAAGATTTTACACTGGGCTGCTATGAAGCTTGGTTGTTTGTAGCTTTGGAATACTTTGGCCATGCTACTCCAGCCGTGGAACTACTTCTGTGTCAGACCAACCCTTTTTGTAAAGCTTTTTAAAAGTACAATATGTGTATTGCTCTTTTGAACTGGGACTTGAAATAAAAAACTCCAAAATGGAGTCAATTTTAATGTTAAAGCCAGTGTTTTGTATGAAAACATTTTGCTTTTGGAATGAAGCTCTTTTTTGTATGATAAAAGAAAACAAAAGATCAATGATTACCTTTGTGGATATTTATGGATATTGTGATTTAATTGCCTTCCAACTGTAAAAATGTGAAATATGATATAGTATATTTTTCTAATATGTCAGCTGCAATGGCTGAAGGATAAAAAAAAGTCTTGTTTTCTTGTGTGGTGCAGTATCAGTATTTCATGTATTTAGAAACCCTCTGGACTGACTTTTAATAAACAGTGTTACTCCTTTTTCAACATTGTCCTGAAGTCTGTTGAGCCATTGTTTTTATTTTTTATTTATTTGGTTCAGGAGAACCCACATATGCATAAGGAGAATGTGCTGCCCTCACGATGAGTCTCTAGACAACTAGCTAACACCTGGGTTGAAAATAATTCGGTCCTTCATAGTTTTTTTATTTTATTTTGCAACTCTTTTCTGATTTGTACTGTAAAACTGTAACAAAGCACAAAAGTATCAACCATAGTCAAAATACAGAAAACAACTATGGCAAACAAATGACTCTGGATTGTTACTTTTGACTTTGCTGCCTCAGCTTTAGTATTTAGACTAAGCTTACTTTAGTAATATAGAGTATTTTTTGCCTCTCCCAGTCCTGGATTTTGATGCTTTCTTGATTCTGAGCAGGAATGATGAACTGTTGTCCTTAAGGCAACTATTGGGTGCCCTATAAAAAAAAGTTGCAGACACAGGTCTGATGTTAAAACGTCGCAATATTTTTCCTGCAAGATCCATCTATCCTCGTTAAAGTTTTCAGCCAAAGTATTTGCTGCAGTTTGAAGAAGGATACATTGGTTAAATTGACTGAAGGCAGCTGTTGACTCTTGGCTGTTTGATCCAGCTGCTCCCTGAAAAAGATAACTTCCTGTCAATGGAGAGGACGCTTCACAAGATGAAGAACGGGCAAACTGGAGGGATGCCACGAGCGCATTCAAGGACCCCATCTGCTCAGTTCTGCATGGCTGGCAGCTCAGCCCCACATCTACAAAACTATTCTAGGTTTTTAGCCTAGACTCTGTTTGCATGAAGAAGTAGAGAAATCCTCACAGCACATTTCTTTTCATATCTTGCTTAGCCTTTTTTTATTTATTTTTGAGCGACTGTCGTGCGCACCTCCTTTTTGAAAGAGTTTCTCACTGTCAACAATGTTTCCAAACTGTGTAGCGCCAATAGGAAATCACAAATAAATAATCTTTCTGCTGAATGTATGCTCCAAATGTCAATGATTTTTATTTCACACCAAAAAAAATTATTTTTGTATTATTAAAATTTGTTTAGTGATATATAGGCAAAAATAGATTACATCTGTGAAGTCTATCTTTTTTTACTCCATCATGAAGTTTTGATCTTAAGTTTTTGTTTGTTACAAAATATCAAATAACTTATTAATATACTTTTATTTTGGCATTATTTGTTTCTTTTTGTGTCCAATTTACAGAGAATCTCCTAATTGATGTGCTGAACAGAAACCAACTTGTCTTTTCTGTATTTCACTGCAATTTATTTGTGCCCATCAATAAATGGTGCATTTTCTGGGCCAAAATTATGCTTTTTTTACATCTTTATTTCTATCTTTTCAGACACAGAAAATATTTACTTTTCATTTCATGCCATTCATTAACTAGAGTCTTGACAATCAGAGTCCTTTCTGTGAAGTTAATGTCATGTTCATGGAACTGAACTACCTTCTTTTAACCATCAGCACATCAGAGTTTTCAATTTGGTCTCTTCTCATCTGTGACCTTACAACTAAGCTTACTTAAGAATGTATGCCACAAAAAATAAAAATAGAAATGGAACACACATTTTTGTTTCTCTGAAATGGTAAAAGCTCAAAGAAACTCGCCACAGGGAATGACTAAAGTGCTGCAACTGGATGTACAAAGAGGAGGTCACTGGCACAAAAGACTCTAAGCTGGCAACTCGTGATGGCAGGATGTATTCTTTAAAAAAAATAAACAGTCCTCTAATGAATGACCTAATTGGCAGAATGCATTGACCGTATGCTCACCGTGTTTTCAGGCCAGCTCCATAGTGTACTATTAACAAAACAAGGTAATAAAAAACAAAACTACCCAAGTTTTTTTCTACTTTTTATAGACTATAAATGCATACTCCATGAGTTGTCTAGTCCACATAGTTATTGTGGGATAAAACACCAGAGATCAAAAGCAATTTTAGAAAAATATCTACAAATTTTTATTTACTGTTGGTACAGATTTCTTTACTGTTGGACACAGGGTTGTGCCTTATCTGCCAGCAGAACTAGAAATTGTATCTTGTCAAGATTTTCTAAAACAGGAACAAAATATCTAACCAAGATGAACCTGCAAATATATCGAGATTAGTGTATTTTTACTTAAAATAAGCCAATTTTATTTCTACAAGTAAGATATATTACCTTATTTTAAGAAAACTATTCTCAAGTAAAGAAAATGCAATTTGACATCAAATTTCTTGAAACCAGCATATGTCTACCTAAAACTAGTTTACTTTTATTGTTAAAATATACTATATATTTTGTCATTATATATTTTACTCAAGATTCTTATGCTAGGGCAAAATTCCAAAAACGGATCCTGTCAATGGTGGAACAAGAGATGTTATCAGCTTGTTGAAATGAAGACATGAGTTCAATTACTTTTAGCATTAGGAATAGTTGCACACGGTGGTCTTGTTTGGTTGAAGTTGTTGGGTCATCTTCTAGTTGTAGCACAAACAGAAAAACAATCATTAAACAAAACATGTTTGTTTAATGATTGACTGTAATTAGTCTAATGATTATAAAGTGTCTAATGATTATAAAGTGTCATAAATAAAGTGTCATAAATTTCTCACCTCAATAATGTGAAGGACAGAGTCACTCGGAACTTCCAAAGTTTCTTGTAGATGGTGCAATTTATCTTATCGCTTACAAGTCATTTCACAAATAAAGACCTTCGAACTGTGACTGTGACATTTTTACAGCTGATTAGATGGAGAGAATTTTTAAGCCCTCAAGCCTTGTAAAAGCTTTTTAACTGGATTTGACTCACGAATGTGCTTTGATCCAAACTGTTTCATTGCATCTCTGACTGTTTGTTTTGTCTTTTTGGTGGTTGAACCTTTAACAGCGAGATGAAAATGGTCCAAGAGAGAGAATACAAAGGTTGCCCAACAAAATGTTCAAAATGCTTTTATTTTGCACAGCACTTACAATTAAATAGATTTGAAAACAGATGGGTCTTTATCTGGTTAACTGTTTATGTGTTATCTTCCTAAACTGATGGACCAAACCACCCTACATTAATAGGTAAAATACTGAAACCTGAAAGTTTTTTTCCAGGATATGCCGGTAATATCAACAGTATTTCTTTTTTTGTGTATGTATGTTATTTCTTATTTTTTGTTGATCATATATTTGAACCTTTGTGTGAACCTACATGCTTTCATTTGCTGCTAGCATGCCTGGCTTTCACAAGTGATGGGACAGTAAAAAATATTTCTATTTCTATGTAAACATCTCCAGACCTTCCTCCCTGTCTGCTGCGTTCATTTGGACTTCATGATGCCAGTTGTTCCGTCTCAGGTTTTCACTGAACACCTGCAAAGAAATGACCTACAGATGGAGACTATTTACTAATTAGATCAATACAAATACATGGACTTATTAGATTTTTATTTAGAAAACCATTTAAAAACAAAAACAAAAAAAACTTTCATAGTTACTCATTACTTTGTTGTCCTAACAGAATATTTAGATTTATAGACAAAATGTGACAAAATGTGAAAGAATCAAAGGGTGCAAATACTTTTGTGAGGAACTGTATAAAAAGTGAATCAGAAGTAAGAAAATGTGATCCTTTGGAAAAATATTTTAATATATGCATCTATCCCACGACATTCCTTCTGATCTGTTCCCTGGAAAACTGTACAAATACTTCACTTGCATGAAAAAAGTTACATTTTGCATAAAATCTTTGTGACCTTGGACACTTAAAGGTTTCAGGACAACAATGAATGTGAAAAAGCATTCCTTCCATTTTCCTAGCACAGACATTCAGATTCATAATAAATATTTAAGAATGTTCACTTCATATTTGTTTAGTCAGGAGGGAGGAAGTATGGGTCAGTTTCTGAGCTAGCTTGTTCAAAACTTTATAAATACCACTGCTTATCCCAGAACAGAATATAAATAATTTCCTCCATTTTGTTTTGTTTTGGGCGGCAGGAGGAGGGGCTTGCCCAGGCCTCTGCTTGATGCAGAACCACAACTGCAAACACACACACCTGCATACACAGGTTCCTGTGGGACTACTCACATTCACCAAGGTGGAGCCTAAGTATACCCTCGCTGTGTAGCTGCAACAGGAGCTTAAACTCCTCCGGCATGGCGTGGAATCCGCTCCTTCCTCTTATGTCATCGTAATAATGGTTGGTCAGCTCCTTGAAGGTCTGTGGGTGAAGATCGAATGGCCAGAAGCCGTACAGGTCGACAGTGTCACACAGTTCCAGGGCCATGCTTGTCACAATCATGCCAGAGCTGAGACGCACAGCCTTCCATCCTTGAGAGCGCCAGAACGTGTCAAGATCCGCTAAGTACTCTGGATTGAAGTAGATTGGTTGCATGGGGCTCCCAAAGTCCTGAATCGTGTGGAAAGCCCGCATGCAGAGAGCTACGTTTTTGACATAGGAAAACGCAGGAAACAGAATCATGGAGCTTCCATATTGGCACAGATTCTCCATAAACTTTCGTCGACTTCCTAAAAGAGAGTCATACCTGCAAATACGAAACTGATGTTAATAAAAACAAGCGAGATGATATTACACATGTAAATAGATACATTTTCTCACTTTTGTAAAAGTATGCTCGGATTTGCTGACACAAGGTCCGTCTTGACCCCAACGTGTTTCTCGTATCCATTTAAAGGCGGAAGGTTGCACCTGAAAAACAGTAGCAGACATTTATTTTAATTAAACAGGATTCTTGAATTATTTTAACTTCTGATACTTAGACAGCCTACTCACCTGATGATAAACTCAGCTGAATCAATATGTTTTCCACAGCTACTGTTTGCCAGGATCCCAGCATTCCCAACAACAGCACAAGAACTGTAGGTTTTATTTGCAAAAGGAGACTCCTGAAATTACCAACAAAAATTATTAAAAAACATATAGTAAACATAAGATTTTTCATAGTTTTAACAATTAAAAACATGCAAATAACTTATATTTAAATATATTTATAGGAATCAGTGATATATCTAACATATCTGATTAATCTGCAAAAATAACTTTCAGAATTTAGAAAACTATCAATGGGCGGCACATTGATGTGAATTGTTTTTATGCTCCAGTAAACAGCTTTTAAATGATCCCATTCAAATGTATGTATGTCCCAATTACATACATTTTTGTTTAAATTATTGAATTTTTATTATTTGAAGCATTTCTTACAGTGATTTTGCCAATGATTGAGTCATCAAGAATAGCTTTAATATTTTATATATTTTTGCCATCTGTAAGAAAATCTTTTTGCATCGAGATCATCTTCACTGATCAGTAGCCAATCAATAGCCAAAAGCAGTTTGGAACTGGCAGAAAAGATTTGGCTGTTTTTGTCATGGGAGTAACACACCTAAGTTCTGCTGCAAATCACACAAATGCATTTTCCTTAAAATAATTTAAGAATCAAAAAAGATTGTAAGAAAACAAACAAAAAAAAATTTTTAAAAAAACAAAGATATCTTTATGGGTTAAGTGCCTTTAAAAGTGAAGCACCATGATAGCAAGTCTCATGTCAAAAATAAATAACTGATGAATTGATAACAAACAAAAATGTAACTGGAAACATGTAAAACATAAAACAACTTACCTTCAAAAATGTGTCAAAATGCTCCGATTTCACCTCAAAAATCGTCATCTTTTTATCTCCATCTGCAGCAAGCTTTGATCCCACCAGAGTGTTTTTCTGAGTAATGATGGCCTTTTCATAACCTCTGACCTTTAAGTTCAGCTTAACTCTGGAAAAACACAAGGTCTTTTATTTATTCAGCAGTTAGCAGAGGAACAGAACTTTAAGGTGTGATAGTGCAAACATGTCAGCCTTAAAAACTGTGACTGTTGCTAACTTAAAACATGCCATTAAAGTAAAGTTGACTGATACCAGCGTGGGATGACAGGCCTGATAAAATCTTTTCTGGAAACAGTTTGAAAAGTTTTGGAATGCTGTTGAGCATTCAGGCAGCAAGCTGATGGGAACAAGATTAAAATTGAGCTACAATAGACTTTGAATGATATTTGTACCTTAATTCTTCGTGTTTTTCCTCCTGTCTCTTCCAGGGTTTGGAGTAAGGCTGTAGCATTTCTGTTATTTTCTTCCTGGATTTGCAAAAGCAGAATCACAAAAAAAACAGGAAACTGTGAAGTACTGATATGGTTCTCTTATGGCAAAAGCAAAGATTTCACTACAGCTATGATGCTCAAAGGTTTCCTGAGGTTTGTCTTTTTTATTTTTGTTTTTATTTTCACAAGTGTTGCAACCCGAACTTGTTTCTGCTTTACAGGAATAAACGTTTCCATTGAGACACTATTAGTATTTCTAATCATCTGATTAGAAATACTAACGATATTTGTCCTCATGTCCATGGAAACCAGACATGAAGGCAGAAATGACAAAGACATTGTAAACTTTTTGTGCAGGATTTGATATTACCTGGCAGACTTTTTTTTAATTTTTACAAACCAAATTTATTGCTAAAGACATTTTTGTGCATGTCTGATATTTAGATTGGACAGAGAATAAAGTGACAGACAAGGAAGTAATACAAAATATTGTCTTTTATAAATATATCATGAGTTTTATTTAAAGAAATATACTTAATGACACATCACTTCTAAATAAACACCTTTTTTGAAAACTAAATTAAGCATTTTCTGAGCTTTTTTGAGGCAAGAGGGATTCGTAAATGTTTTCCTCTAAGTGGGCAACTCTAAAAAATTTGAGAATCACTCACCGAAAGGAAAAACTGTGACACTCTGTTCTCACCTGCAGTCTTGACAGAGTTTACGTTGCTTGGCAGCTTCCTTCTTATCAGGTATTTTCTCAGATTTGTCTTTGCTGGGAGGAAATAAAGTGTCAAAATCTGTAAACTTGCTTCATCTCTGCTGGTCTCTTATTTAGATGCAAATTCATGCATTTATAACATATAAAGCTGCAGTACTTAACTTTTATAAAAAATATGTCTTTGCATTTTTTTCTTTTTAAATGATGACTCTGTTCTCACCTGCAGTCTTTACATTGCATAGCAGCTTGTTTCTTGTCAGCCATTTTTTCAGGTTTTTCTTTGATGGGCTCACTGTAGAAAAAATGTGTCAAGATCTGTAAACTTGCATAAAAATATCTGCTTTTATTTACATTTGGATTCAGGAATCCAGAGCTAACATGTACTTTTTTATTCTGGATCCAGGTTTCATTTAACTTGTATTTTCTTATATTTAATAAATGAACTAAAAAAACAAACAAACAAACAAAAAAAAACAGCAGTACCGTCTGCAAACTTTAAAAGCAATCATACACAGCTTGAACAGAAAGAGGTTTTTAGGACACAACTAAAACAAATTTCTTTGCTACATTAGGGTTAGTGTAAGGGTTAGGTCTATCATGTCATTGTTTTTAGAATGTAGCTGAAATTTAGCAAGAGCAGTTTGACATACAGGTCTTGGGCCATGAGGTGAAAAAGCCGAATTACATAGGTGCAGTAAATTGTTGGACTTCTTTCAACCGACAGGCACCAGAGATGACATAGGGGTAGGATTGGGTTAGGGTTGAAAGACATTGCTTTTGGATCCTATCTAGCAGTTAGAGATATTTTCTCAAGATAATCCTCTGCATTGTCCTTTTGATATCTGAAGAAACTTGATGCCGTGCGAAGAGATTAGTGATTCAAAGCGTAAGTAGAAGTTACTCCAGATGCCTTTTTGGGGAGAATTAGAGTTGAAATGCTCTCATTTCTTCTGCAAATGAGTTGTTATTGCCTTTATGATGGATGAATCAAATGGCACAAAACTTTATTTTTTCCATTTACTGAATGTATTTCAGACATTAAAAACTCCACCGACTCTGAACAGTGACTGTTTAGTTGACTGCAGTTTGTGCAAAAACTCCATCACAGCATTTGGAGCAATTTTAGCACAGTAATACAAACCAGGAGCCATTTTGGACAAAATCTAAAAATAAACATCCAGTCTGTATTCTTCTTTGTGGGAATTCAATTAAAGATAAAAGAAAAAATAGTTGGACAAAATCAGATGGATTCAAACATCGTACCTCTATCTAACAACTTGCTGCACTTTTTAAATTTATTTTATGTTTTTTATCCACTGGAAACAAAAAATGTATAGCCAAGACATACAATCAGTGACTGATAATATAATGCAGAGCAAGGCAACAAAACAATACCACTTCCATTATTTTTTACAGACCACACAGATTAGATTTAATTCAAACAACAGCAACAGATGTTTAATCTATTTCATGTTGGTAAAATTCATTAACTTTGTTTTGAAGGAGTTTTTTTCAATTTTAGAGCTTAGTAAAATTTCCTATAAGCTTTTTTCTGAAATGTTGCCAAACTTCAGGTATCTTTCTCAGGCATATTTCTCATTTGGATCTTATTCGCAAATTATGCAGAAACTTAAATGCAGGAGGAAACATATAACACCCACATGTTTTGCATGTTCCCTTTGACTATGAGGACTGAATAGCATTCCCCAGAATGTGTAGATATAAGGTGAGTGTGACTGGAATGATGCAGGACGGTTGGTGAACAGGTTTGTCCATCAACAACAAACAAGTGACCCCGGTGAGTTTTGAAAGCGCTCATTGCATTTGATAAGATCGCATTTTGATTTAGGAAGCTTTAGTTTTGAAATGAAGAATTGTATTTATACCTCAATGGTTCATTGTTGGGTTCTTCCGTTTGTGAGACTTGAGAGCAGAAATCTATGAACTGATTCGAACGCTCCCTGAAACACAAGAGCACGTCCAGAAATGAGCATGACTAGATTGTAGATTGATTTTATAATTGAATGACGAAACAAACTCCAAGAAAAGCAGTGACTGCTCATTCTTACCTGCGGAGGCTCCTTGAAACGGTGCTTTGCTGTAGATTGAAGCAAGGTTTCTCATATCTGTGGCGAGAGAAAAACAGAGTGTTGAGAAGAAAATATATTTTTATTAACAGTTTTGCTTTATTCAGTGTGAATGCATTGCATAAACTTCTAACACGTGTGAGTCACATGTGAATCATCCTTTTGGTGTTACAGGAACTATGAAATATTCTGTAATATCTTTCATTTGATGTACTATAAAGACTTTATATGCTGCAGATTATCTTCATAGGTTCCAGCCAGCCTTTATGATGGAATCTATCCAGCCACTCATACTGGTTTTGCTGCTTCAAAAGTTGCAAACATCAACTTCTACCAGCATAAAACATTCTGCATATTCCAGAACAGCCATTCACTTTATAAAGGGAATGATGCAATAAATACTTCTTGCACTAAAACTCTAATTCTGAAGGTCACATAAAGTTCACATTAGATCTGTGAATTTTAAAAATGATGTAGCTTTATGTTATTAAAGTTAAAATTTAATCAGTAATGCTTTTGTAAGAAATGTGTTTCAGATCATAATTTTTTGGTCAATGTCAAGTTGTCATTTTGAATATTTTCAGCTTTGTCTTAAAAGTGTCATGAGTTACCAAATAACACTTTATGACAGGAGTCATACATATTTATGAATACTTACTCATGTTCATGATGGTCCGTCATGTTTATGACAGGCTTACTCACAATCCGTCAAATAAAGTTTTACCCAAAAGTTTTATATAAATAGGTGAACATTTGTGAACATATGTTTTCATATATTTGTGTTAATGGTATCTATTTAGATTCAGTCTTCTTCTGACTTTTTTGCAGCATCAGTGGTCCTAGTTTTAACATATTTACTGCTTATCTTGTTTGCCCAGCAGTTTTAATGCTTTTTAATACCGCTCTTCAAGGACAGTTTTAACTGCCTGAAAGCTTCATAAAGTTAATAAGTTAACATGAAATGCAGTATAAGGCATCATGACAGGACAGTTTTTGTCCTTGCACATGTTTTTTATAAAAACCTGTAAAACACATAATCTATCTGTCAAGAGAAGAACCCTGAAGGAAGACAGAAGTTTCTCCAAAAATTAATGTTTCATACAAAATACAAGAGCTGTTCAGAGTAAGGATGGTTTAAATTTATGAATAGCATTAATCTTTAATGTGCAGATCTGGTGGACAGTTTTATGAGTCTGCATATTGTTTCATTTTTAAAAAGCTGTGTAATAGAGCCATCTTGGCTGTCACATTTCACATGGTAGAAACAGAAAGCGTACACTGTAACAAATTGCTGTAAAAAAACGGCCAAAACTGAACAGTATCATACTGTTTCTATTGAAAACAGTACTGCACCGTGAAAAACAATGCATTCTGGGAAATTATTACTGTTTTTAATAAAATACTGTAGTATACTGTGAGTAGCATTGCATTTTGGGAATGATTTTAGATTCAACAGTAAGGAGGCTGTCTTTAAACAGAACGCTACAGTATTTCTGAAGAAGACATGTTGTTGTGACATGTGGAAGCAACCTCTAGAACAGGGGAGCTCAAGTCCAGTCCTCGAGAGCTACCATCCTGCAACTATCAGATGCATCCCTGCTCCAACACACCTGAATCAAATGAATGACTTGTTACCAGGCCTGCTCATAGCTGAGCCTGATCTACTGGAGTAAGGCTGCAACTAAAAGTTGCAGGACGGTAACTCTCGAGGACTGGACTTGAACACCCCTGCTCTAGAACTTTCTTTACAAGGACTATCCATTTGAATCCTGCATTTTATGAGCCAATCCTAAGGTAAGTTATTTTTGATGATTCATATTTACAAATATTGACATGTTTGGAAGCTCTTTTTCTTTCTTTTGTGTAATTTGACTTGAATTGCTATGATTAGCTGCTAAAGTGAAATTGGTGAATGCTAGCAACTGGGAATTTGGAGTTTCACAGAGTTGACTTGGCAGAAAACTGTTTAAATGTTATGCTGGTGTCTTTTTATTAACTCTTAACATTCAAAAGTTTGTCTTCATCCAGCACTCATTAAACCCTGACTCCTTAAGCATCATATGCTAATCTGAAATTATTGCATTTTCAGGCGCTTTCTTGATATCAACCCTGAAAGAGGGACCAAGGCCAGCTGTGGCAAGATGGTCTCCAAGAGGGCAGGACAAACTGTTCAAAAGAAGTCGGTCACTGTCAACCCACGTGTTTCAAGTCTGCTAAAAAACCTCATGGACTTTGAATGGAATTTCATATAAGTTAGTGAAAACGTTCTAAGCAGTCTATAGATATTGTTGCCCCTTCGCACAAATTTTTTTTTTTTTTTTGGGGGGGGGGAGCGGTTTAAAGGTCAGCATAATCTTAGACATGTCTTAATTTATAGCATATATTTTGTTAAGGCTCCCACTTTCTGTTCTTCAGATGTAATTTGTAATTTTGACTGTACAGGCACAATGCTTAACTTATCTTGGCAGTGTGTTGTCTGAGCAATGTTTGAGTTGTTTTTTTGTTTTTTGTTTTCAAATAAATGTTGGTTGACATGATGGAACTTACATTTTCTAAGTGTTTTTCTTTTATGTTTCTATTTTGAATTGGAAATTTACAGTAGTAAGCTGTATGTGAATTCAACAGTAATGGTACCATAGAAAAACTGTAATATACTGGCAACACTGCTGCCAGTAGTCTACTGTAAATCTGATTAAAAACAACAATGTGCTGTAATCAAAAGATTTCTTTTGTGACGGTAATATACTGTAAAGTTGAGTATAGTAAGGGTACTGTATATTAACGGTATAATGCTGGCAACCCTGCTGCCAGCATTTTACTGTAAAAATACAGGCCAATTTGTTACAGTGTACTGCTACAAAATCAATCATAATGATGGAAGAATATCTTATTGAAATGACAAAAGTATGGAGACACATAAGATACATTTGTGAAACTTTGAGTGTGTCCTCTTTATGGTTTTGCTAAAGACTTTTCAGAGAGCTCCAGTGAGGTATTTAAAAAGCAGAGGTGTGAACAAGTTACTGTTTTCCGGATTACAGGTCAGCCTCAAATATTTCTACTCAAGTCACAAATCAAGACATGCAAGTTCCAATTTCCAAGTAGTTTAACTTTACATTCTGAATCTTAAGTGATGTGAATATGTAACTTAATCTAAAAGTAATGAGAATGATTTCCAGAATGCTTTTTTTAAATGTTATTTTTTTGTTTGTTTGTTTGTTTTTTCTTTTACAAGCAGTAAGAGAATTGAACAAGTATTTAACCTTTCTTTCATCTGTGAGACTTTTGCTGTAGGGTTCACAACTTCTGCCATTTGTCAAGTTTAAAGCACTCATGGATCACAAGATTTACATTTTTTAATCAAGACCTGTAAATATCTTCTTTTCTGTCCTTACAAAGAGAAAAAAGAAAATGCAGAGGCTTAAGGAAATAAAATTTTTCCAAAAAAAAGAAAACATCTGAAAATGTACAGTTGAAAGAAGTTTTGTTTCTGTTTATGTGATTCATCTGTTTAGTTTGCAACAAAATCTCTAAGAAAACTAAAGAAACTACAAATATGGAAATTTCAGGATGAAAAATGCTATTTCAACCTGGTGACATGTACATCTAACAATGATAATATTTTAAGAGCAATTGGGCTAAATTATAATACAAAAAATAATTTTAAAAAATCTAAACTTGAAGTGATAAGCAGACACGCATAACATTTTAATGTTAAACGTAGGAGTGTGTGTATCTTTAATGTTACGGACATTTATTTAGTCATTTTTTTCCTCATTTATTTTCGTATATTTTATTTACTTTGTGACCCAAGTGAACACAAACAGCCTAAAAAGGTATATATAAACAAAACATAAATTGTATTTTTTGTTTTTCAACAATGTCGGGTTTGACCACTATCTTATTTAAACCTCAGCAGGAGGAATCTACCTGCGTACACCTGAGACCCAGAACATGCCAAATGTTTGTTTACAACCAATAGAAATAAGTTTAACTTACTCTTTCTCCATCGAACACCAGATGGTGAGGACCAGAAGGCTCCCCAAAAAGAAGACATTCAAAAAGAGCAGCAGTTTCAACACCTGTCCCCTCATACCTGTTTTTTTCTCTCACCATCTATTTTTCTGACTCATTAAGTACTCTCTGTCAAACTATCCCCTCCCTCGTGGGATTACTTCACCACATCTCTTTTTTTCCATTGCTCAACTTCGCCAATTGTGTTAATGCACTGGACAACTTTGAACATTAACTCAAACAACTCTGGCATTCTTGGAGTTTACCTTTGTTTCAACTTTCCCCTAAGCATAGCTTATTTTGAAATTTACTCTCACTTCCAGCAGATTTAGGTTTAGAAATGTTTTTTGATTGTTTTGACTAATAGTGTGTTTTATTAAAAGACTGTCATCTGGTGCAACGCATTATCAGGTATTCCTCTTGTCACAGTCACAACAACCTGTCAGCACCTATCAACATTTATTATGCAAAAACTACAATTTAAAAAAACAGTTTCCCTTAAAGATACGGCGCCGGTGCAACCAGAAAGACAGCAGATCAGAATCAGAATCTAGGAGTTTTCTCAAAATGAACACTGTACCTGATGTTAGAGTCATGGTAAGACAAATTAGCAGCTTCTTCAAGTTGCAGTGCTTCACTTGTCTTGAACATAGATGATTTTAGAGCTATTTCACTTTTTCCCTTAATAAATGTTCACATTTTTTCTCGTGTTAATAATAAAGATGCACTAAATAGTGAAGATATGCAGAAGTTAATTTATTTAATAATAAAAATAACATATTTCATGAGGTGAGCACTTCGTTGATTCAAAATAGCTATCTTTAAAAAAGAAGGCTATCGACTTTTCTAAAGTTGATAGCTTTAAAATATATATATATATATATATATATATATATATATATATATATATATATATATAAATTTTAAAATTGCCTTCTCACCCACCGCGGGTGGTTCTTATCCTCTGAGCTCGGGTCCTCTACCAGAGGCCTGGGAGCTTGAGGGTTCTGCGCAGTATCTTGGCTGTGCCAAGGACTGCACATTTCTGGACTGAGATGTCTGATGTTGTTCCTGGGATCTTTTATCAATAAATTCTGCCACAACCGACAATTTCTGCTGACTTAAAAATGCTATTTAAGTCAGCAAAAAAAAATGTTGGTTTTAATTCAGAAAGTAAAGTTCATAAAGTTGATTTAACGAAAGATGAGTTATCTAACATCGTTTTTTAAGTTCATTAATCTTAAATTGCGAGTGTTAACATAATTGTGCTGGCAGTAATTCTTCCCAGCCAGCAGATGGTGGTGTTTCCATGTTGAGTTTGTTTTGATCAGTAGAATGAGTTCAGAAACACATGTATGATGACTGACGCCAGCAGTTTATCAATCTTCATAATCATTCTTCATCCTGTTTTGTTGTTTACAGAAAGCACTGCTTGTAAGTACTTTGTGTTCCTTTATTACTTCTGAGAGAATATTGAGCTGAATTTGCAGGCCTTTATGTTGAAAAAGATTGATGTTTGTAAGGTTGATTGTCACATGTTATTTACACAGTATTAAGTATTTGCATCCTTACTATTTGTATGACTTGACTACTGTTGTATTCTAAATTGTGTTTTTTCATCTTTATTTGTAGTTTCACTCTTTTGGCATTGAAAGCAACGTCAATTAAAGTGACATACGCCTGTCAACCGTCTCAAGAGTTTATCTATCTGCACAACTGTTACTTGGAAACACAGTGGGAGCAGAACAGTGAAAAAGCACAGATCTACACAACAAGCAGTGAATGTTTACGTCGAAGATCTACTACCCAAGATGTCTCAAAAAGCTGGAACGGCTCCCTCAACTCGCTCCAGCAAGACACACCTGTCGAATTCAAGTAAGTCGTCTGCAAGCATGGCTGCTGTAAATGCAAGGGCGAAAGCTGAAGCAGCTCGCACTAGAGCAGAATTTGCTAAAAAGGAAATCGCAATGAAAGTTAAGAAAGCAGAACTGGAAGCTACATTACTGGTTCTTCAACACCAGTGTGATGCAGAGGCAGCTAATGCTGAGGCAAACATTTATGAGGCAGCTGCTAATGAAGATGAGCATATGTCTCAACCAGAGCAGCAAAATGATGATTCTTTAGAACGCACTGGCAATTATGTGAAAGAACAACTTGCCATAAAAGGTAGCCTAGCTCCATTTGACATTATAGAGTACAAAGAAGAACTGGCAGCCACAACATTCTGTCAACCCAAACAAGAACTTGACAGTTCCATAGACACTCTGAAAGACTATGCTCTTCCATCAAACATTTCAACCAAGCATGAAGCTGTTCTTCGACCATCCCAGTGTAAACCTGTACTTAACACGTCACCACGCTTCAAACATGATGTTCAATCAAATGACCAAGTTAACATGTCTGAACTAACAAGGTTCCTGGCTAGAAGTGAGCTACTCACTGGAGGACTAAGGAAGTTTAGTGACAAACCAGGAGACTACTGGTCTTGGAAATCCTCTTTTGAGAATGCAATCCGTAACTTACATTTGTCTGCTAGTGAAGAACTGGACTTATTGATCAAATGGCTTGGCCCAGAGTCTGTGAAGTATGCAGAGCGTCTAAGAGCAGTGCATGTCAATAATCCTGAACAAGGGCTACTTAAAGTTTGGGACAGACTACAAGAATGTTATGGTTCTCCTGAAGCCTTAGAAATGGCACTGTTAGAACGGATGCTACAGTTCCCTAAGATCTCAAACAAAGATCCACATCTCCTAAGAGAACTTGCAGACCTTCTACTGGAGATCGACTCAGCAAAGAGTGAAGGTTATATACCAGGTCTACTCTACCTCGACACAGCAAGGGGGATCCACCCTGTAGTTGATAAGTTGCCTTTTGGAATACAAGAAAAGTGGATGAACCATGGGACTAAATACAAAGAAAAACATTTTGTGTCATTTCCGCCATTTTCTGTATTTGCCAATTTTGTTTCCAGTGAAGCAAAAATGCGCAATGATCCCAGTTTTAGACATTCAGTCCAGCAACCACCAGCACCTATCAAGACGTTTAAATATCAGGAAAGACACTGCAGGAAAGAACCCATCTCTGTAAGTCGGACAGAAGTTGTAAACTCTCAACCAAAACTTACAGCTGAGACAAAGGTTGTGGATGTAGATAAAGAATGTCCCATCCACAGAAAACCCCATGCACTGAAGAGATGTAGAGCATTCAGAGAAATGCCCTTTGAGGAGCGAAAGTTCTACCTTAAGAAGAACTCGATATGCTTCAGATGTTGCGCCTCTACCAATCACCAAGCAAAGAATTGTACTACAGAGATAAGCTGTGCAGAATGCGGCACCAACAGTCATATTTCAGCCCTTCATCCTGGTCCAGCAGTTTGGGCAACAACACCATCACCAGCTGTAAAGCAGCCAGTTCACGGCGGGGAGCAAGATCAAGCATCACCCACTGCTACCTCTACCTGTACACAAGTGTGGAAGTGAAATTGAAAGCCATTCTTGCGCCAAAATCTGTCCAGTGTTCATCTATCCAAAAGGGTCTCCTGAGAAGAAGCTGAAAACATATGCAATTTTGGATGACCAAAGTAACAGGTCCCTTGCCAGATCTTCAGTCTTCGATGCCTTCAATATTGCAAGGAGATCTTATCCTTACATGCTAAAGACTTGTGCAGGAACGGAAGAAGTAATGGGGAGAAGAGCTCACAACTTCATTGTGGAATCAGTGGATTGCCAGTCACAACTGTCGCTAGAGACGCTTATTGAGTGTGATTCGCTCCCAGACAACCGGAATGAGATTCCAACGCCTGAAACTGCTCAACACCACTCCCACCTACAGGACATAGCTGCAGAAATTCCCAGGCTGGATCCAGACGCTAGCATTTCTTTCTCATAGGGAGAGATGTTGTCCAAGCACATAAGGTCATTGACCAACGTAATGGACCTTTAAATGCCCCGTTCGCTCAGAAGCTGGCTCTTGGATGGGTCATAGTTGGGGATGTTTGCCTCGGTGGGGCGCACAAACCCGACTATGCAAGTGTCTTCAAAACCAATTTCCTGGATAATGGTCGGCCCAGTCGCTTTCTACCGTGTAAGAATGCCATTCAGGTGGCCGAAGGCTTCGATTCCCCGGTTCCTCAAGGGTCAGTTTCTGCACTTCTACAAAGACAAAATGGTCAGACGTCACAGACATTGGAGAAACGATCTTTCAACAAACAAGCTCAGATGAAAAACCTGGCTTCTCACAAGAAGAAAGAATCTTTCTTGAGATAATGAACAAGGCAGTCTTCCAAGATAGTTCAAATAGTTGGGTCGCTCCACTACCCTTTCGTTCCCCTAGGCCATGCCTTCCCAACAACAGGCAGCAGGCTCTACAGCGCCTTACTTCTGTTCGCCATATTCTGAATAAACGTCCTAAAATGAAAGAACACTTTCTACAATTTATGCAAACCATACTTGATAACGGCCATGCAGAATTGGCACCTCCTCTCAAAGAACAGGAGGAGTGTTGGTATCTCCCTTTCTTTGGAGTTTATCATCCTCGCAAGTTAGACCAGATTAGGATTGTGTTTGACTCCAGTGCACGTCATGATGGATTGTCGCTCAATGACGTCCTTCTTACAGGCCCTAATCTTAACAACAGTCTCTTAGGTGTTTTAATGCGTTTCAGAGAAGAAAAAGTGGCCGTGACTGCTGATATTAAGCAGATGTTCCATTGCTTTTTGGTCAAAGAGGACCATCGGAACTTCTTACGATTTCTTTGGCATGAAAACAATGACATGGAACAACCAATTGTGGAGTATCGCATGACTGTTCATGTTTTTGGCAACAGTCCGTCTCCTGCAGTTGCAACCTATGGGCTTCGTCGCGCATCAGAAGACCAGGAGAAACAGGACAACACAACAAGACATTTTGTGGAACGTCACTTCTATGTTGATGATGGCCTTGCTTCCTTCTCATCAAGTGATGAGGCAATCTCTATTGTCAAAAATGCTCAACAAACATTGGCCACATCCAATTTAAAGTTGCACAAGATTGCTTCTAATGATGTTAACGTGATGAAAGCATTCGCAAAGGAGGACCTGGCA